AATTTTGTTATTACATCTATTATATAATAAATACTCTGAATTTATTTTTCAATCTGTCGTTTTCTTATCTCTACTATTATGTTTGATGCTTTGTATAGATCAAAAGACAACGAAAGATTAATTCTAGACACTTGTCTTTAAATAAGAATCAATCGGATAATTATTTATAAGTATATTTAACGAAATAAAAGAAGTGAAGAGTATCATATATAATATTGAACAATATACTTACTCTAGGGGGTGTTCGATCTTTCACTTGAACTCGTTTACCGTCTGCAATGTCATGATATCTTTGAAAAAAATTATACAATGAATTATACTAGAGGACAATCTATCAATATACTTACTGAAGTCTTTTAAATTTTTCACCTCCACCGGCAACATAAGTTCGATGATCTTCTAACTCAGATATATCATGTAATCGAGTACCATTTCTAGGTGTATAAATACATCTAACAGCACCAAAATTGGCCTTTAATGCTTGTGATGCATCATCTAAGAAAACTTCAAGCATTGGATATTTCCGTTGATTAATAACAAATGAACGTCCAGAAAAAAATGAATCTCCATTTCTCATTAATTTAATAGAGCGACCACGTTCAAGTCCAGTCAGACGTGGCTGTTGTTGCTGTTGTTGTTGTTCACGTGGGTCAGGTTGATCATATTGTCGTTGGTCACGATGATCGTGTTGTTGCTCACGTTGATCATGTTGTTGATAATCACGATGACCATGTTGTGGATTGTATTCTGTCATCATTCTGTATGAAGAATTTGATTATATAGATAGGTATATGGAATCGAAATAAACAGAGAAAGGTAGAGAGAGAGAGAGTGAGAAGGAAGGAGAAAAAGTAAATGACGATGAAACTATGATGATGTGAGGTAAGAAGCCCCAAAATAAAAGTTAAGACAAGAAATAAATTGTGGTCGTGATGTTGAATGTAAGAATATAGTTGTCGTCGTTATCGTCATCGCCAAGCATCAATCTAGAAGAAAAGAATGAACAAGAAGAAGAAGAAGAAGAAGAACAAAAAAAAGTTTCTGATATTAAAGAACAAGATGTTTTTGATAGGTTTCAATCATCCAACAAAGCTAACATTTCTATGATATCATTATTTCATATCAAATAAGAGCTAACATATTGTTTTTTAAAATTTTTTTCACACTTACTTCAAAAATTTAAGCGAGAAATAAATAAAAATTTCAACTCCATTTATTTACCTGTGTTTATTCGACTTATAGAATACAATAAAAAGGTTGCTAAAGCAATAGTTTTGTCAATAACAAAAGTGTCTACTTCTCCACTACTGATCAATAAGTGTATGGTATAATGAACAAACAAAACAGAGTCGTTCGAATATGCGTGTTAAACAAAATATTTTTCTACTTTTTTTTTCCTCTCTTTTTCTTTCTAAATCAAAATAGAACAAAATCCTATAGATTTATTTAATGATCTATCCTTTTTTTTCATAAAAAAAACAAGTACATTTCATTAAAAAAAAACATCAAATAATAAAATTATCGTCTCTCATATATTAGTGAAAACTTTAATATGTATTTAACCTGAAGAGATGCCTACTTACTTGAAAATCTAACCATTATAGACTCTACTTTGTAATCGATTTGTTTATATAGCAATTATACTTTATATTCTTGTCGTTCTCCCCTTTCTCTCTTCATTTATATGCTAAATCTGAAACTATGTTGGTCTTCTTTGATATACGTAAAGAAATGTCTCATTTTTGTTTGAACGACAATATATAGGCTCAGTTGCATAGCAACATTGTTATTGTGTGTTATACTGATAATTATTCATGCGAAAATGCAATGCTATTTATGCAGACGGCAAAGAGAACATCTCGAGTGTGCAATACTATAGAAGGTGTATGCTATGCTGTAGCGACAGACTGTTGTCAAGAAGAAGAAGAAGAAGAAGAAGAAGGGAAAGACAGAAAAAGAGAGAAGAGGAGAAGAAAGACGAGAAAATGATATGACGACAACAGCTATTTCATTGTTATTAGCTTGTATATTACTTTCTCTCTGGATTTTTTCTTAAAACAAAAAAAGAAAGAGATAAGATTTAACTTATATACAAAAGCCGAGAAAATAATCATTAAAGATAAGATATTGACGTCATATACGGATTATAAAATGTTCGAAATAATTTTTCAATTGATTCACATACATAAAAAAAGAATGTAATGATAGTAAAAGAAATATATATCATTGGAAAAAGAAAGAATACAGTAAAATTTTTATTAGAAAACCAGATGGAAAAATATTTTAAATATAAAGGAGTCTTTGTTTCTCAGAAAGCGAGAAGAACAATATCTTCAAGTGAGGAAAAGGAAAGAACGCACTCAACCTTGTAAATATGCTTATTCTTGGATGCATGATATTAATTTAACTTTTCCTGTTTTTTTCCTATTGTGAAGTGTTTTACCTACACATATTTATATCAATCCAATACTGATTAATTATATATATATATAAAGATAAATTTCATATAAGAGATAGAATTACCTTGAATGTTACAGATCATGTTTATCTAGTTATCTATTGTACACATGTACCTGACCTGAACTGCATGTATAAAGTGTGAGTAACGACTGACAAGATAATGAACGTACGAGATATATTTCAATTAAGTTCATAGGTCAGAATTCTGATAAGATCAATAGAAAAAAAACATTCTATTATATCAGTCACGCAAATATTGGAATAAATATAGAAATTAAGGACATTCTGTAAGAACTATGTATGTATATATAGGCAAAAGGTGGTGAAGATTTCTTTCTCTCTATTCTCCAACTTCTCTAGTCACGGCAAACTTCTGAACAACGAGCGCTAATAAGATTTTCACTTTTTTTCTTCTTCTTCTTCTTTTTTCCTTTTTCCAAACTCATAGCGTGTGTTTTTGTGCGTGTGAACGTGTGTATGCGTGTTTATTTGTCTTTTTGTTGATTTTTTAACTTTGAGACGATTATGAAAGAAGAAAAGAAAAGAAAAAGACTTTTATTCGTCCCTAACATAAATAAACTGTATGATTAACATTTGTGAGAAAAAAAAACGACTTGAAAATGCAAAATATTATTATAAAATTTTATATTCAAAAAGAACAATATAAAACTAACGAAATATACAATACAGAAAATAAATAATTCTATATTAATCTAATACTCGTGAAAGCTTTCTTTATTTCTAGTTTTATGTTAAACAGTCTAACAAAAATTGAGATCCGGTAATGATCAAGTTTTGTCATATTTACATGTACTATAATTTGTTAGGCTTCATAAACGATAGAAACTTCATTAATCTTAATTTATTTTTTATTTATTTTTTCACCTAAAATTGTACTTAACTTAATCATTTGAATATTTAGTTGATCAATGAACATACCTTATAAATTTTGATTCAATCTGTGTATTTATATGACGAGATACTCTTGTCATTATAATAGAGCAACCTTCCTACCTCTTTTAAATTGTATTACAACCATTTTCTTTCATCATTTTTTCGACAGTGAATAGCAAATCGAAAGAACAACATTCTTTACAAGCCTCTTTAAAAAACTTATGTCAACATCTATACTTGTGCTTTTTACGTTTGTTACCTCTCTGACAACCGTTGCTCTCTTTTTCTATGTTTTTTTCTTTGTCATCTTCGTTACTGAATAGAAGCCACTTGAAAAGACTGTCATTCAGCTCGAAAATAAACGTCATTAAGTATTTCTATATATATACAGTACATAATAATAATTTTTGAAAAAAGGCGATAACAAAACAAGGAATACATATAACGTCATATATGTTCCTAACGACAGATAAATCTTATCTGATATAAAATAAATTATTTTGTCCTAATCAATAATTCTTAGTTGCACTGAAATTGTTGTTAAATAGATGCAGCTAGACAATTACTTATCAAAAAGAAAAATTGCTGATAACGCAAGTCAAACAGATACAATAATAATCAATGTAGTCATATCTTTTTTCCTTTCTTTGTCTTTAGTCATGAAACAGAAAACAATAATTGTCTCAATACGCATAAAGAAGATTTATAGATCTTATTATTAAATTAAATCGAATTAGAATATTTATTTCGAAGTTTCTTTTACGATTTGATAACAATCAGAATATTGTGACAAAGGTAAAAATTGATTTTTTTTTAATAAAGAAAATGCAATGAGTTTTTGTTTTCTAACAAATTCATGACAATAACCTTTTTAATTAACAAATATGAAAATTTTAATTTTTACATTCCCTTCATCATCCAAATTAAAGGTTGTTTTTTAACTTATTAAATTATTTAGTAGACCATTCTACCATTCTTGGAATGTTTTTTTTTGTTAAGCGACTCCACTTACCAAATGTTCATCTTAGATACGCTTTTAAACATCATAGAAACTTAACAGATACACAACTGTTGATAGGAAATCATTTCGATGAAAAAATACTATATTTTCTTGATAAAAATATTTAATTCAATGAATTTCCTATTTCTTATACTCAAATGTATTATGTCGCGTTTTTTTGAGCCTTGAGATTTTCCGTCATAAATTGATTTTCTTTTTTTTCTATTCAAATAGAAATATATCGATATTACATAATATTATGTATTCATTATTTTTTTATAAAGAATAAATGGAAGAAGAAAAAAAAAGTAAACAACCTTTTAAAGAAACAAACTTCTCTCTCTCTGTCTTTGTCTCTTTCTATCAATTAAGCACCATTATTACATGTAGAAATATATACATGTCTCGAAGACAAAACTATAATGAACGATGAAGTTTACCAAGACAACATGATGAAAAGAAGAAGAAAAAAAAATCTAATTTTACATAAGTTTAAGATTACTGTTCGATAGTATTTATTGTTGAATAACCAAGATCATTAGCTAATTCTCCAATATGTGATGGACTAAGAGAAAAAAGATCATAGGTAAACATTTCATCTGATGTTTTTGTCATTGATAATGTTGATATATCAAATAATTGATGACGTTTAAAAAAACTAACAAATATGATAAGATCATTGATTGAATTTAATTGAAAACGTTTATAAATATAAATAAGTTTATATCGTAAATCATCATTAGTAAGACTACTTGGTAAATCTTCTTCATCATTATTATTATCATCTTGAGATACGTCACTATCATATGGATCTGATTGTTCTGAACATGATACTGGATTTGTTGGTATTTTATTTGATTCAACAGACAGTTGTTCATGAACTATATAAAAATAGGAATAAAATAAGAGATATTTTTTTCTATGTCTAATATTTACATGAATTAGATTTGTCTGAGAATTGATTGTAAGTTTCACTATTTTGTCTATCGATATTCATTGGTGGTTGAACAGGATTATCTTCAGTTTGAAAGATATCAGTGGAAGGTGAATTTATATTTGGTAGTGGTGGAAATGTATCGATAGATGATAATGATGATGAAACAACAGAACTAATAGAAGGTTCGTTATTAGATTGAGCAGGACTAGGTATAGATTTAGGAGAGTTTAATGTTTGACATTTTTGTTGATTGGATAATAATTTCGATGGTGATGGTAAATGACGATTGGGTTGATCAGGACTAGGTATCGATTTAGAAGAGTTTAATGTTTGACATTTTTGTTGATTGGATAATAATTTCGAAGGTGATGGTAAAGGACGATTAGGTTGATCAAGTGGTTTAGATAAATTTGAATTTTTGCGATCTATATTTAAAGAAAAAATATTTTTTCTAGATTTATTTTTGCATTTACCTTTAATAATATTAGTTTTTCCGGATTGACTATTATTCGTGGATTTTTTAACAGATGATAAAGAACGATCTCGTTTTAAATTTGTTGGAGTTTTAGATGTTAATGATTCTTGTCCTTGTGAATTCTTTTTTAATGATGGTGAAGGCATTGATGAACGTGAACGTTTCTCTATAACTGATGATGGTAGAACTTTTTTCTTAGGAATTTTCTTAAGATTATTGATTGAAGCTGATGTAATAGTTGTATTAGTTGGAGAAATACTAGATGTTGATGGTTGTGAAAGTGATTCTCGTTTTATCACGACTGTTGAAGGTGATTTAACTATAGTAGCTGATGTTTGTTCTGTTTTAATCGAAATTTTATGAGGATTCTTAATGATTGATTTTTTCGATGCATTCTGTGAACTTATGACCGTTTTGATTTTAGATGGAGAAGGAACAATTTCTTTCTTTTTTGTATTCATTGTTGTAGGTTGACTAGAAGATTTAATGTCATTCGTTGATTGAGATTTAATTAGTTTAGTAGTAGATGAACGTGGTTTAGTTGATGGTGAATCTAAATAAATAATACGATATAAAAAGAATACTTTTACATTTAAATAAATTGCCTATACTTTCAATTATTTCACTAACAGTTATTGGTTGATTTGATGAAGTTTTTATTATTTTTCCTTCTACTACAGTTGAAGATTTCGATGATACGAGTTTTGGTTTTTTAATATTCGGTGTTGTTGTTGTTTTACTCGAATTTTCATTCTTCACTATTGATTGTACTTGTTTTTTCTTACTATTATTTATTGATTGTTCAACTTTAACTTTTTTATTAACCACATTTGGTGTAGGGCTTGGTGAAAGAGGTCTTTTTTGTGGTGGAGAATGACGACCAATTGATTCATGAGATGACATTTGTTCGTCGTCCATTTCACTTTCATCACTATCAATATTATTTGATGTTATCGGACCACTATCGACGATTTTCTATGTATACAAAAAAAAAAAAAGAAAAATATGAATAAAATAAGTTGTGAATTTAAAACTTACAACTACAGTTAAACGGCATCTATTTCGATGTTCTTTCATTTTATTATTCATTATATTATGAAATACTCTCAGAAAAAATAATATTACAAAACGAAGAAAAAACCTGTAAGTTAAGGTTATTTTAAATCTATTTTCGTTTATGAGTCATTTTGCACAGCTGACCTACACGTTATTTTTTTTTCTTCTTCTTTTATTTGCTTATACCAAGAAAAAAAACTTAAAAGAGAGAAAAAAAGAAGTAATAATCATACATTGATGACGTTGATCATTACTTTTTTTTTACGTGGGAAAAAAACAAACCTTGATACGGTCATACGCCTCCATACTTTTATGTATTTTACATGTGACACGAAAAAAACAACATGCTAACTTACACCACCAGCTGCAAGTATCTTTTGACGAAATTCAGGATCGGGATTATAAATAGTAAAACGATATTTTCGTAGATAACTTTCTTTTTGTTGATATGGACGCCCATCGATAGGTTTATGTAAATCAAGTTCATATTCAATACGAAATTTTTTTGGTTCTGTCTTTGTTTTAAAATATATTTCAATTGGCTAAAATAAAATCAGATTTTATTATTAAAATATAAAAATGAAAATTAATTATTACTAAATGAAAACCAGCATAACCACTTTCTTGAATAGCATATGGTGTTGTTTTTAATTCTAAAATATTATTTCAAATATTTATTTTGTTTTATAATAAATATATTTTTCTACCTCGTTTACTATTTGGATATTCATGATGAAGATGAAATACACAACGTTGTATTAAACAACTTAAATCACCATTGACATCAGCTGAACGTAAAAATAGTTTCCAATCATGAGTACGTGGTGGATTATGAATAGTTGTAGCTTCACATCGAATTATTGAACTATGTCCAACTTCAAAATCAATTTCAATAGTCTGTATATAAAGAAATAGGAATTCTTCCTTTCCATAACAAAAAAAAACAGACCTCACTAATGCCATTACGATCATTCATTTCGATTGTTTAACAATCTCGAAGCAAAATCTTTTACAATTTAACTTTCGCAATTGACGTCAGAAAACCTTTTAAACACTCAGTCATGTCTATAATAAAAAAAAAACTTTTCATATATGTTTATGGCAATGAATAAAAAGAAAAATAATAGGAGAACGAAAGAAAGAACAAAAAAAAGGAAAATTTCGAAGATTCAGATGATGCTATCTATATATATATATCTGTACGTGAATTATGGATGACCAATAATATTCGTTTTTACTTGTTGATATTATTCTAATCGTTGTTCTAAATAATAGAAATGGTAAAATAAAACGACGTCCTATTCATTATTCATAGATTTTATTGTTATCTACTGACATCTTCTAATTTGTTTATATTCATTTATTTATGAATTATGTATAGAAAATGAATGAGTACAATAGATCGTGAAAGATATATTTGATCATGATATTTAATCCAAGCTTATTTTTATTGAAATAAACTATTGAAAAAGTAGTCGTACTGATACAAATACCATTGATGGTTGATAATTAATAGGTAACTATCTAATCATACATTCCGAATAAGAACTAAATTTAGAGGAATTAAAGAGTAGACTTTTTCTACATATACGCAAATAATTACAAGATTTATTGTAATTATGTAGTAGAAATAGTTACTAGTATTTAATCAAATAGCATTGCATATCCTTTTGTTTTATTGAAAATATTCATAAGGAGATTAGCACATTAGTTAGAATGAGCGAATTAGCATGTGTCGAATTCATGATGTTTATGGCAATCGTTGACAAAATAAATGTATAGTATGGTCTACACATATTCTACTATAGTTACTGTTTCGATTGTTCTCTTCAACAAATACGATTGCTTTCTTTCAGTTAATTGCATCAACTGTGTACTGATTTTTGTATCATTTTCCAATGACGCAGAAGCTATAAAATTCATCGCTTTTATTTACTTTGCATTAGTGATAAAGAATTCAGTATATAAAAAACATGAATTAGTAGACGAAAATCGAAAAATGATCAGATACAACGATTATATATTATATAGAAAATCTTCTTCACGTAATATATGAACTATTGCCTCGTAGTACGTAGTTACTATATTACGTGAATAATATGCCCTATATTGACTTAATAGAAGACAATGAAAAAAGAAATATCAATCGATTTTAAGAATTATTCTATTTTTTATTTGCATAATGAATGAATGTTTTAAACAAAATCATATTTTTATATTATATCTAATAGTGAGTTTTATTAATTGCATCAAATTTAATAGTCCTTCATGCTCTACTCATGTAAATACTTTTTTGATTGAAACATTTGTCGCATCTAGCCGGATCTATTTTTCGTTTCGTATTTATATGAAAGGTGTATTCAGTTTAAGTTAAGTATTCAAAACACAAATGTATTTGAGTGACAACTTCCTAAAGTACATAACAAACACATAATATTATCGGTTTGGTTTTATGTGACATGTTCTTTATCTACAGAATACCTTTTTCGTTTTTTATAATATCTTACAAAATAATATATATGTTATTATCAAGCAGACAATACTATAGCATAAAAAGGATACTCTTTATCGTAATACGATTGTTTTTGTCACGTGGATCAATGAAGTATAAACGTATATTTCCTTAATTGCATGGCTCATTGATTGTAAAGAGAATGTATAACTATATCTGATAGTACAGTTTTTGTACTTATCAGTCATGTTGACATATTTTTGCTCTTGAATTATATTTTGAATTTTTCGAATAAAAATCAGCACATACAAATCATCAATAAAATATTCAAGTTAATGTTTATTCCAGAAGTTTGATAACTGTAATCGATAGCCAATTTGATTAAATCATTCATAATAGTCATGATCTATTCGGTGAAACAACAATTGGTTACTACAACAAAAACAATTGTAACAACAATATAATATATCAGTTTCTTTTCGTATTCTGTTTTGTACTCATAACGACAATATAAAAAAGATACGTACACACTTTTTCTGAGTCAAAGTTTATTATCAGTTGGTAAGAATTAGTTTAAAATGAATATGATTCATCTTCGTTTTTGCTTTTTTTTGTCATTCTACCTGAAAGAAAAGACTCACTAAACAAAATATTTATTTATTTCACCTACAAAAGGAGACGGTAATACTATGTAATAACTGCATAACACAAATGACAAGCCCCTACACACCTATGTTACTATCAACATGGAAAAAGAAAAAACAAAATCAAATTTGATTTCGATTAGATATCGAAATGATGCTCAACCATGGGATGATTTCGTGACAACTACGGATAGCTCGTCAACTGTAAACAATGATTATAAATGAAGAATATGAAAAATAAGAACATTGAATTAGATTAACAAAGACTATACTATAGACTTACAAACAATATATTTATCTTTGTATTGAATTGTAAAATTAACTTTAAATAACCTTGCTATATTTATGTATATTTATATTGTGTTCTGCAGTACTTATGAATAACCATGAAGACTGTGGTGTTAAATATTGTTTGTGCTTTGTTAAAGCTTTACAGAAATGTAATCTAATATTATTCAGTAAAAAATTTCATATTTTCAATATGTCATTTAACATGTATAAATAAACTTGAGCTGAACAGAATCTATAAGAAATTATTTCATTTTTTTTGTCTGTAAACTATTATTATAGAATATTCATAAATCTTTCTACAATAATAATGCATCGATTGACGTTAATAAGTCATAAATGAATAGCTATAGTTTATTTGTTGATGTTACAGTCATCCAATTGTTTCATATATCTAGCGTATATTTTTTTTCCCTTCTGTATTAGAATCATTGATGTGTATTGTTGCTAAGATAATGCACAAGCAGAGAACGAATGGTATATCCTATAGGTTTACCCTACTTTGATCGAA